GGAAAAATTGAGTTGTACTCGTGAATTTTCGAGCTGGTGACACCAACCCGTCGTCAGACGAAATAAACAGAGGAGAAAGTGAAATGGTCAGACCAAATTGGTTGGCGTGACAGGGCAGCAACTGATAGGTAAGCAACTGATGTATGAAAGGGGGGGTGGTGACATAATTAGGCTAGGGTCTGTGGTGGGGGAGGGAAGAGAGAACTGTTGCGACTCCCTGTGTTAGAGGGTAGGGGGAGGATGACGATTCAATGTGACATCGGACGGTGGACTTAATGATCGTCGCTCCGGCATGCGGGTAGAAGTCAGTAATCGAACGTAGAGGTGTTAGGGATTAGGGTTGCGGTTCGCTGTGTCTGGGGTAGGGAGGGGGGGGGGCGAAATAGTCCGATTATCCGGGGCGTGGTATGGCTTAGCGGCTGTTGCTAGGTTGTGGGCGTAAGTCAGTGAGCCGGGTACGCAGCCCTTCGTAATGAGCATCCAGATCGACATGGCGATTGATGCTTGTTGTGTTAGAGTGCCAGGCCTCGAGGAATTTCCACCGTCCGATGTCACATTGAATCGTCATCCTCCCCCTACCCTCTAACACAGGGAGTCGCAACAGTTCTCTCTTCCCTCCCCCACCACAGACCCTAGCCTAATTATGTCACCACCCCCCCTTTCATACATCAGTTGCTTACCTATCAGTTGCTGCCCTGTCACGCCAACCAATTTGGTCTGACCATTTCACTTTCTCCTCTGTTTATTTCGTCTGACGACGGGTTGGTGTCACCAGCTCGAAAATTCACGAGTACAACTCAATTTTTCCGACGAGCCTTCTATCTTCATATATATATATATCGTGTATACCATCCCCCGAGGAAGACGAAGAAGAGAAATCGATTTCATGAACCAGGTTGTATTCAGACTGACGTTTCGGAAACACACTCGTTTCCATCATCAGAGTCGTGCGCTGACTTTTCCTGCTGGCCTTGATCTGTTCAGCCTTGCCGCCTGCCTCGTATTATAACCGTGCACAGCGCACGTTTGTTGACTAGCCTGCTTTCCGTTGGCTGATTGTCGCGGACGATGGAACACTTCAAAAAGACGATGATTAGAATACTGATACAAGACTGCCACTTTCGTATTCGCAAAAACCCCCAAGTGATGGAACAACATTTATCAACTTGCCAGTCGACTTTGACCGCGTTCGAGCTGGAAACCTTGAGGGCGTCAATCCTCAATGGGGCACAGCGTCACCGAAAGTTACGCGATGATCAACTGTTAAAAAAATTCTGCAAAATAAGTCCGCCGAAACAGCCCTCCTCTGATGGGATGTTGGTCCACAACCTGTCCTCCCATTGCCTCACGCAACGACAGTTAGCGGTCCTATCCTATGACACTAAGTTCAGCACGAAAGATGCTCGACCAGAAGACTTCATCGCATCCTTCGAATCAGTGCTCCGGAAGTGCGAGGCAGATGAAGAACGCAAACACGCCATGAGGCAACAGGTGTCGTCCTTACTTCTCCAGCACAAATCCCAAATGACGATTTCCGAAGCAGAAGATCGAGAACTTTCCGGTTTACGAAAAATAAAGAATATTGTCACCCTGCCTGCTGACAAGGGACGCTCGACAGTCGTCATGGATAAGACCGAATACTCGACTAAACTGGAGAACCTGCTGATGGACCAAGAATCTTACGCGCTTTCGGATGTGAGCGAGTTCAAAAGGCTTGTAAACAACATAAGCAAGACAGTGAGTAGGTTAAAGAAAGCGAGCGCCCTCACGAGAAAAGAGGCACTGTCCGCGATGGCACGCTTCTACGGCCTTCCCAAGGTACACAAGCCAGGAGTGCCCCTTCGCCCAATCGTTTCTTTACGTGGCACACCAACTTTTGGCCTATCAAAGTGGCTGTACCAACAACTTTGTTTCCTCGTCAAAGACACAGAGTGGACAGTGAAGTCAGCTGAGGAGTTTTTGGCTCGCATCCGACATCGTAGAGTGGAGACAGACGAGGTGATGGTGTCATTTGACGTGGTCTCACTGTTCACTTATATCCCGCCCGACCTGGCCATCGACACTCTCGACGGACTTCTCCGAGAAAAATACGACGAGACTGACCAACATCTTAAACGAGTGCACATCATCGAACTCCTAGAACAGTGTCTTAAGACTTTCTTCACATTTAACGGCCAAGTGTACGTGCAAAAAAGGGAACACCAATGGGTTCACCTCTGTCCGGACTAATTGCCGAAGCGGTTGTGCAGAGGCTGGAGCGTCTGGTATTCAGCTCGTACCCCCCGAAGTTCTGGGCCAGATATGTCGACGACACATCGTCATAATAAAGAGGAGCGACGTGCAAGATTTCAAGGCACTCTTAAATTCGATATTTCCCGACATACAGTTCACCATGGAAGAAGAGGCCGACAATCGCTTGCCCTTCTTCGACGTACAAATTACAAAACGGGCAGACGGGAATATAAAGACGACGGTCTACCGTAAGGCGACTAACACTAGGCGCATCCTTCACTTCAGAAGCAACCACCCCGTCGGTCACAAACGCAGTTGTGTCAGGACCCTTTTCCAACGCGCCCAAACACACTGCAGCGACGACGATGACAGGAAGAAGGAGGTGAAGTATTTACGTGCTCTATTTGAAGCCAACGGTTACCCGAAGTCGTTCATACGCAAGTGTCTCAGGAAGTCCCACTCGGGGCGGTCGAACGAGGAGAAACCAAAGTTCTGGCTCTCGATCCCCTATGTGAAGAACGTTTCAGAGGCAACTACAAGAATTCTGAAACCTTTCGGAATTGGTGTGGCCCATAAACCAGCATCAACAATCAGACAGCAAATTATGAGGCCCAAAGACCCGCTCCCGGTGACAGAACAATCAGCGGTGGTCTACAGCATACCATGCCAAGATTGTGATGCCAGGTATGTTGGTGAAACGGGAAAACGCCTCGGCACAAGATTGCACGAGCACCAGCTGGCAATCAACCGCAAGGATAAGCTGTCGTTGGTGTATGGCCACACACTAGAGCGGAATCACTGTTTTGCCTTCGAGAAAGCAAGTGTGATCGCCCGAGCCAATGATAAAATGGCCAGACTAATGCTGGAAAGTTGGTCCTCGACTGGCACACTTAACCGGGCCATAGACCTACATCCAGCCTACCAGGCGCTCCGCGCAAGACTCGAGTCAGTCCAGGCAGGGCCGATGGCACGGATGAGCAGAGCCACACGGGGTCGACCGCCGACGCTCGCGGAGAGAGAAGGCGCTTACCGAATGTCACGTGACCGGCGTGGCACACCGTCTCACGGACGTACTCGCGAGGCCGGAAACACCACGCCTGAGAAACAAAGACCGATCAGCCCGCCGTCTGTCGAGGGGGAGGCGAACGAGCACGCCGACGCCGCGGCAACCACGTCAGGCGTGAGGGGGACACAAGCCACGCCAGTCCACTAATGGCTGAGATCAGGGAGGCGACAATCAGCCAACGGAAAGCAGGCTAGTCAACAAACGTGCGCTGTGCACGGTTATAATACGAGGCAGGCGGCAAGGCTGAACAGATCAAGGCCAGCAGGAAACGTCAGCGCACGACTCTGATGATGGAACCGAGTGTGTTTCCGAAACGTCAGTCTGAATTCAACCTGGTTCATGAAATCGATTTCTCTTCTTCGTCTTTCTCGGGGGATGATATACACGGTAATATATCTGGACCTCGCATCTTCACGCATATATATATATATATATATACTATACGTTGCCCGCCTGCAGTTATTAAATATTACGTGTTATCCCGTGGTGGCTGAGGGTCGTCTGCCGGAACATAAATGCATCGCATTTCTGACTGCGCCTATGGATCTTAGTAAATAATGACCTACTCCAAGTTCACAGTTAACCTCTGGCGAAATGAATAAGCAACGATTTTTATACCGGACTATCTACTTCAGTCCGCACATCCTGACTCTCCGTCGCCTTGTCAAGCAGCCCTCCTGTCCGCCCCGCTCTCCTTGTTAAGTCATTGCTGGGATGCGCGAGGTTTGTCACTAGACTCGCGAGCGCTCCTGGTAAATTAAATTTGCCCATTCGATAATTGGCTGGCGGACACTGAATCGGAGCGTTGGCACACACACTAACTGGGATCTAAGCGCCTCAATGGCGTACATAAGCAACAAACCTTGACTGGAGGGACCGTTCGCGACGACTGTTTGCAGATCTTTGTGTACGCACTACCTCAGCATTGGAAGTTGTCCAACCCAACCCGTCTTCCTCGACTATTGGTTTGGGAATTTCTGACTTGTCGAGCATTCCACTCCAACATGCCTGACAAAAAGCAGACGAGGAATGCTAAAAGGCCCACGAAGGAACCGAATGCATTGGAGTTTTGCTTGCGGCGGCATAATACCGACATGAAACGCTTGTTTGGGCTCTGAGACAGTACCTATTCTGCTAGTATGGTATCTCCTAACCCCAAAAGTGTTATTAACCGACATGCTACTGTCCAACAACTGTTCTGGATGTTGCCATATCGTTTCAGGTGCATATTTCATCACATGTAACGCATCAATTTTCTCATTGAAAAACAAAACAATTTAAGGTTACAGATGCTGCTTTTTCTGATATTTTCTCAGTTCCTGAGAATTGCCCACATGTTTTTAACCTTATCTTCTTCTTCTATTTTTGTTACTTAACAAACAGGAAACACTAACGATGATTCGTTGGTGCTCTGATATAAACCTAAATTGACGGAGATATTCCCTTAGGAATGGTCAAAGTATTATGCCGGCTGGCCGTGTTGTCCACTACCGAGTTCTTGGGTTCCGAAAAGAAATTATGAAAACCAACTTGGAATTATCTGCCCTTAAGACGTATTGGACAAAATACACCGGCTATATTCTGAGCTGTCTGTGCGCTGCGTTTGAATAAAAGAGATGATAATTTATTATCATACAAATTCCTGACTTTTCCATCTTTACAAAGGCGTGTCAAGATGCCACTGATATGTTTAAAGAACAAGCTGATTTAGACAGGGTAACTACTTATAACACATGTCAAAATATACTGCCAAATTTGCATGAGAAGTTTCCAAATTTTATCAAATGCATCCCCATGCATTTTATATTTAACGGGCCAATGAAATGGGAGTGTAGAAGTAACTGGTTAAATATGTGGAAGCAACATACTGTCATTATTAGACAGAGAAGAAAGTATCGCTCCCGTTTGCCAATGCCGAGAAACTAGCCGATCCGTTTACCGCTTTCTTTGCTAACGAACATAAAATACCAACAGCAGTTCATAACTTCTTTGATAGGAATCCAAATACGTGATGATTTTCTGTTCGCCATTGTCCACCTTTAATTCGGACAGGGCGATTTGTCCAACGTCGATGCCGAAATTCCTGGAACGTAATTTTAGGTGTTAATTTGACACTGTCTGCTCTGTAGACATATTGGAGTAAAATGCACCTGCAATATTGGTAGCTGTCTACGACACTGTGTTTAAAGAGAAACAAACGTAGTCTATTACCGTACAAACTCCGGACTGTTTACTCTTTACACAAGAAAGTCAAATGGTTTCTGTTATATTTAATGTGTAACAGTAATTTTTAAAATGTAAGTAAGTGCAGCAATAATCTAACAAATGAAATGTCAAAATCTAATACCAAGGTTAAATAAGAAGTCCGACAAATGACCAGATGCATCACCATAAATTTCATATTTTACGGAGAAATAAATTAGTGCGCTGGCAATAACTGTCTAAATCTCTGCAAGAAACCTATTATAATTAACAAACTGAGAGGTAAAATCGCTCCTAACTGCTAATTTCAAAAATAGCCGTTCCATTTACTGCAACATTAGCTAAAGATCGCCACTTTTAATGAATGCAGCGAAAATCGAAAGCAACCGGTGATTGACAACCGCATTTGACTTTAGTAAACGCTAAATTGCGAGGGATGTGCTCTGCTTAAGCGCATTTTTATTGATATACATTACCATAAAACCAGTGACATTAGAGTGGCAATTCCTGGCTTATAAACCTATGTCAGTCAGTCATTCCCAATCCCGAGTTGTGGAACCCTAAGACCCGATTAGTCTACCTGTTGGGTAAAAGTGAAGCGCACATAACCTCTGAGTCGCGTGCTCGTAGACATACAAACTGCTCCCAAAATATTAAAGTGCTGCATTCGAAAAATGCCGAGTTATCTGTCAATGTCGAAACAAGCGTGGCATTGTCCTTCGTCAGAAGTCGTTTGGAAATCAGGGCGCATCTGATTTGCCGGGGTTAGTAAAGACCTGGGCAGTTTCGGATGCGCGATAGACGAAATGACTGAGAGCTGACTTCTCGATAAGCGGACCGCTATAAGTTATATTTTCGTCCGTAGGCTGACTTAAAAGGTTTAATAAGTGAATAACTGATTTGTCTTCGTTGCGTCCGCCATATGATCGTGCCATTTTTATGAGACAACTGAAGTATATGAAAGAGCATCAAAGTTTGTTGTATATTTCTACCAAAGAATTAACAGTTTTTAGACACAATGGTGCCAGAAAAATTACCGTGTCAAGATTTTATTTTCTCGACAATTCCGACTCACATTTCAAAATGCACATGCACATGCAATATTCTTGTTGAGGAATCCCGTGTCTTTCAGCAACCAGTCAGCTTGGGGTTTCGCCCATGCTATTGTTTCCTGTTTGAGTGACAAGCCGCTGGAGCATGGGCAACCTAGAGAAATACTTAACAATCCAGACAGAAAAAGAGGATTAGAAACGCCCAAAACAACGCGCCCCTCGAGCATTTACGGTGGCGCCCTACTGCTACGGAAAAAGACTTATTCACGAAACGTTACAGATTAACTTTCAGCCAACAGATTTTTGACTAACTTATAAAGCACGTATGCAAGCCGCCAACATAAAAAAATTCTATATTACGCCCTCAGAAAGTCCGAATTCGCTTACTAGTTCACGAGGACCGTCTGTTGGGGGGATAGAAACACACACATGTCATTGTGACCATCCGAAATTGGGCTCAGCTTGAAAATGAAGATCAATTATGAAGCCACTCGAGCGATCTTAAAGTCCTGGTGCTCAGTGTAGATAAGCGCATTAAACGCATGGCGTAGATTTGAATTCACATCTGTTATGGTGCAGCAAATTATGTTAACTCTCCCCGTAGCTAAAGAGTAAAACGTACTAAGGTCTTTTAAAAGCACTGGACAGACACACATTACGAATCAGAATGAGCATTGCTTAATGGAGAGAAATAATGCGAGAACAGGTAATGAATCGATTAAATACCAGTGTTAAACGAATGTGGTTTTCTTGCTTAATAATTCGAAGGTTTAGAAGCAATTAGAATGTAAGTTATGACACCATGGCCTGCCAAAAACAGCAAATTCTGCAACTCCGTATTTCGATATGCTGAAACCAACGTGACATAGATGGTCTCGGTTCATGTTAAGCATAAGCACTGCCCATTTTTGTCAAATATTACTACATAACGTCCGTGACACATTGGAATTTAAAAGCATCGTTTTCGTACTAATGTTTGACCAATTCGATCATATTCGCCCTAAGGAAACATCCCATATAAATCTCTCCCTTAAAAAGTAGATATAACATAAAAACCCACTTGGAATCTAAACATTACAGTGTAGTTTTTGTTGAAACCGACCATGCGCAGTTGCGTAATTCCTTTGATTTCTGATATGTTATTGAGCTAGACCTAGCGAAGAAATTCCATGATTTAATTTCGATCAAAAATCGTAAAAAAGAGGACACAAGCACAAGACAGATATTCCTTACGACGCAGTTGCAACATGTCTACGACTGCGCATGTATGAATTGACAGCTGCTATGCAGGTTAAAAACCCTCAAAGATAATGGCGATCAAATGTTTAGTTTTGCAGTGCCTGAGAGGTGGTCATTACGTGCACATTTTGGGACGTACGAGAGGCCGTCATTGTCTGTGAAGATTAAAAACATAATCATTCATAATTTTCGAGTATTTTACTTGCGGACTGTGACAGACCGACTAGGCCAGTAAATGGATTTTCACCGCGGGCCCCATATGGTTTATCTGAAGCATCCCGCTTAATACTATGTTGTTGCCTTCTAGAGGAGTGCAGTGTATATGGGACTCCGAAGTAACAAACTCCGGTTTTGAGTTAGACCTGTCTTTGCTGAAAACATGTTAATTGCACGGAAAGTTTGGTATTCAATGGGAAGCACGCGGAAAAACCTTTCATATGAAAATTGCTAACCTTAGGTAAAGGCAAAACACCGCGCCTTCATCATTACAAACGCCACATGTACTTCATTTATGGGACATAGGAACGATGTACGCATTGTGCAAGGGAACGCGCAACGATTAAAAGCAAGGAGAATCTAACTAGTTCGATTACGTAATCTGAAGGTTGATTTTGTTTTATTTGCGCTACCTGGTGAACATCTTACACAATGATT